ACTTCAGAGTGAATATTAACTTTATATTCTATTTCTTTTCTTTGATGAAGAATTAAAAGAAGATAGATCTGTCAGATCATGTGAAATTTACTGATAGAATAAAATATCACTGTTTTGATATAATTCAAGCAAAGTGTGTGATCACAGACTCTGAAGAAATCTTTAAGAAGAGCAGTCTGCTTCTTCACACAGTCAATATCATAGATGAGAATATCATTCTAAGTCTTCTGTGATTGAGAGAAAACAATTCTCTCATTGACTGAGTCACTCAGATGTGATGATACTGCCTCACTAATGAAGAGACAGTAATAGAGAAATCTGAAGAGTTTCATCAGAAGAATCTTGAGAAAAGAATTGAGTCAATATACTGTGTAGCAGATGATTGAGACTTGAGAATAGATGAAGAAGTTATCACTCTCACTGCAAGATTAGCAGCAGTATTTATCATTGAAGATGAATATATATGACATCTCTTTATAGATTTTAAGAATGTCTTTTCAGAAAGAAAAGCAGTGAAGTTTTCTGATATTAAGATACAATACAAGATTTATCTTGAAGATGATGTAACAGCACTGTATGAGCCTCTTTACAACTTGTCTGTAAAGGAGTTGAATGTTCTACACAAATATCTTGAAGAAGCATAATCAAAGAACTGAATATATTCATCAAAGAGTTCAGCAGAGATATCTATACTCTTTGTGCTCAAGAAGAATAATAGACTACATCTATGTGTAGACTACAGAGGCCTTAACAAGATGACAGTTAAGAATTACTATTTATTACTATTAATTGATAAGATGATCAATTGATTATCTGAAGTAAAGATGTTCTCAAAGATTGATATACAGAATGTCTATCATAGAATCAGAGTTAATGAAGATAATGTTTGAAAAACAGCCTTTCATACTAAGTATGACAATTTTGAATATCTTGTTTTATCTTTTGATCTCTGTAATGCTTTAGCCATCTTCCAGGTCTATATAAATGAGGTGCTGCAGAGCCTTGTTAATGTCTCCTGCATAGTATACTTGAACAACATTCTAATCTTCTCAAAAATGAAGGAAGAACATGATACTCATGTTTGAGAAGTGTTGAGTTGCTTGAGACAGTATTAACTCGCCCCGGTGGCCGAATGGTTAATGCGGCCACCCGGTAGCACCTTGGCGTGGGAAACCAAGGCGCGTGGGTTCGAAACCCGCAGGGGATACATTAAATCCAGAACTCAAGCACCTCAGGTTTCTAATAAATACAGAGGTGTACAAATTGCTCCAATGAATTGCTCTATGTTCCTGGGCTGAGAAGTTATTATCGCATGTATCTAATTGTCACTTCTTTGTATTTTCCTATGTTCTTGTTATCTTGGCGTGGTCTCAACACCAGTATTTCCTCCTGTATAACCAACACTTGACCTGTATTTAACATCACACAAGGACTCATCATAAGCTCCGCTTGCATATGAGTATAATGGAAGAATAATAATAATAATAATAACAGTATTAACTCTATGCAAACACTGAAAAATGTTCATTTTACATGTAGGAGATTGATTTCTTAGATTATATTGTTGAGGTGAATGGCATTTCAATGAACAGGAGCTGAGTCTTCATCATTAAGAACTGGCCAATGCTGTGAACATACTGCAAGATGCAGATGTTTCTAGAATTTGCAAATTTCTACAGACAATTCATCTATACATATTCACAGATTACTGTTCCTCTTACAGATCTGTTGAAGAGAAGTGTGAAAGACAGAAAAACAGAATCATTTATTCTCACTTAAGACACTGTGCAGGTGTTTGCAGAATTGAAACAAGCTTTCATAGATATTATAATACTGAATCACTTTAACCTTGACTTACTCAGTCAGTGTGAGACTGACATATTCAGAAATAGAGTCTGTGAAATCTTTTCACAGTTGATACTGAAGACCTTTCAATATTAAAAGAATCAGAGAATAATCACTTCTAAGAAAATAGACAATGAATTATCTGTGAAAGAAGACTTTTTCACAGAGTCTATAAGACACTGTGAATGAAGATCAGTGATCTTCTTCTTCAAGAAGTTATCACTTACACAGAGAAGATATGATATTCATGATTAGAAAATGTTAGCAATTGTTGAATTCTTTAAGATCTAGTGATATTATCTTCAGAGTAGTAAGTACTCAGTGCAAGTTCTCACTGATCATATAAATCTGCATTACTTCTTAACAATAAAGAGCTTAACAGAATATCAAGCCAGATGAGCAGAGCTGCTTTCAGAGTATGATTTCTATATTCAATATTATTCAGGTTGACTCAATCTCACTGATACACTGTCTAGATAACTCAATTATAATATCATTGATATAGAGAAGAATTCTATAAAAGAATCTCTATCATCACTGCAGAAGAAGCTGGCTGCAGAGAGTTAAAGTTCTCTAAAGCTCAGAAACAGTGCTGAAGAGGCAGCTGTATAACTCAGTATAGAAGATGAAAGAGAATCTGAGTCTCTGCAGAGAACTGATACTGAAGATTATAAGCTTCTTATATTATATCTTACAATTATTGAATTGACAAAGAACAAAATAATCTACAATCTTTCAATCTGACTACTTTTGAAATTTATTAATAAGTTATAGAAGAGGAATGTCTCTACTGCAGCTTGAATTCAGAAGTTGAAGAAGAAAGAATTCAGTTTAAACTTGAAAGAGACAGACTCTGAGCAGAACAGTACTGCTAAGAAATCAAGTCACTGATAACTAGAAGAATATGAACTTCTACTACTGAATAATTCAGTCTTCATTTCTCATAGTAGAGCAGTGTGTCAGAAGTTATTAAGAATTCATCATAATAATTCTCATACAGAGCACTTCAGATTAGAGAAGACTGAGAAGCTTCTAAAATATAAATACACTTAGAACAAGTTCTGAGCAGATATCAAAGAGTATATTAAGACTTACAATGTCTATTAAAGAATAAAGATCTTATAATATAAGTAATACAGTGAGTTGATATCACTGTCTATTTTAAAGAGCTTATAGCAGAATCTATTAATAAATTTTATAGTTAATCTATCAAAGTTGATAAGAGTTAAAGAATATGACTTAATTTTAATCATTATTAACTGCTTTATGAAGATGATCAGATATATCTCTATTTATAAAAAGATTAAAGCCTCTGAATTGACTGATCTGTTTTTAGATATTATCATTTATAATCACAGTGCTCTGAAATTATTAATAACAGATTGAGAATCTCTCTTTATCAGTAAGTACTGATCAGCTTTTTACTATTATCTTATAATAAGATGTCTTCTCAGTACTGCATTTCATCTGCAGACTGATGATCAGACTGAATATCAGAATCAGACACTAGAACAGCATCTTCAAGCATTCTGTTTATATTATTAGAATGATTAACTTAAACATCTTCTAATCACTGAATTTATATATAACAATGCAAAGAATGCAATCTTAAAGATATCTTCTTTCTATACTTATTATAAATATAATTCTTCATTACTCAGTGACATTATAAACAATGTTTTAAAGAAGAGAATAGACAGTCAGAGTATCAGACAGATACAGAGAATGAAGTATTTCTCAGTATCAGAAGTAAAAGTAAGATTGAAACTTTTAAATAAAATTTATAAGAAGATGATGAAAAGCATTCACTGTGCTCAGAAGTAATAGATAAAATACTATAATTAAAAATATCTTCTGATGAAGTTCTTAATAGAGAATCAAGTGCTACTTTCAGCAAAGAATATCAAGACAATGAGACTGTATAAGAAGCTCAGTGAGTGATGACTAGAATCTTTCTCAGTAATAAGAGTGATAAGTAAGCAGATATATAAGTTGAAATTACTCACAGAATTGAAATCAATTCATTCTATTTTTCACATTTTCTATTTAAAGCTCTATAAGTAATACTCTGAGATAAAGCTGTCTCAGCTGAATAACATTGAGATTAAGAATGATACTGAATATCTTATAAAGAAAATATTGAATAAGTAAACATATTACAGCAAGCTTCAATATCTCATTAAATAAGAAGATTATCTATTATTAGAGAATTCATAGAAATCACTTGAGCATTTGAAAAATACTGAGAAAGAGATTATAATCTATGAGATGACTAGTAGAGACTGCTCTGTTATATATCAGAGACATTGAGTAAGAAATGCTGCTTAAGACTTCTCATTTTTCTCAAAGAATTTTTTTAGAGATGATCTCACAGTGATAAGCTGATATTTTATAGACTCTGTAGTACTCTTCTTCTATTTTCTCTCAAAGGGTTTTTTAGAAGTTTAATGAGACTATATAAGTATAAAATTCTGAAGTAGTTAGAGAAAAGAAATATTTAAAATTAATAAAAAGATTAATATTAATTAATCTACAGATCACTACTAATCTAATAAGACTGCAGCTCACTGAAAAAGTAAAAAGAGAGAATCTCAGAGTCTACTTATCAATAATCATATCTTCATTAAACTTATTCTTCACTATTAAAGTCTTCAGCATCAGCATCTTTGTCTGCTGAGAAGTTAGTACTATGACATCATAGAGAAGTATACTGCAGAAGAGTATAAGAGATACTGAAAGTATTAACTTATTAACTTATAAAATATCTCAGTTATCTGCTTTAATTAAAGTAAGATTCTCTTCAATCAGTAATTAATCTCTATAGTACTTTCAACAGTAATACTGACTGATCTCTTCTTGAGATCAGTCATTCTGAGATGTTTTTTCATCTCAGAGATTCACACTTTTATCTTCTTTTACAGATGAGTAAGAGAAATCTTCTCAGTCTTGACAGAATTCATCAATACTTAAAGCTTCAAGACTCTCACTCTGTACTGCTTGAGCATCTGAGCTTCTTATCAGAGCTGATATAACATCTTCTTATAGAGTAGATAATACTTACAGAGAGATAGAAGTCATTATTACAGATACAATAAAAATAACAGAAGTGAGAGAAGAAGCAGATGTATAAAATCTCTTCTTTCTTCAGCTGCTTAATGCAGTGCAGACAAGTAGTAATATTAGTCAGAGATTATATCAGAGCCTTCTCACAGAGAGAAGATGAAGAAACTGCAGGATTCTGCAGACTCAACTCAGCAGAAGCTCAAGCAGGGCTCAGACATGCTATAAGAGAGAAACTACAGATTGAGCTTCTCAGAGTCACTGTTCTCAGAATCAAGCTCTTCTCAGATTTCTCTCTGAATGATCACACAGAGTCATACATCACTGTATTGACTGAGGGGGGGGGCGGCGTCACAACAGCGGTGGGAGAGACAGGGAACAGACTGAACATGAATGAACTGACTGGCAGAGAGGATAACACCTCACTGCAAGACACAGTGACTACCACCACAGCTACAAGAGAAGCAGGAGAAGGAGATGTGATAATGAAAGCAGTGCTTCCGCGGCTCAGTGACACCACTGTCTTCACCTTCAACCTGGCTTTCTTAACAGCCACAGAGGCCGCAGCTGCATCATGAAGACATTTATTACTCACTAGAAAACATCAGAATAAGTCCCTTATTATCTCTCAAGAATGATGCTCTCATGCACTCACTATTGCAGATGAGAGAGGGGGAGAAAAATATGTCACAGAGAGAAAATCTTTTCAAAAAAATCCTGCCACTACTGTTAGCTTTGTCTCTAAAATACATCACTTTTGCAGGGAATTTCATACATAGAATGAAATATATTAAGAGATCTGTAAGTCACTTATTAACTACACTTTTCATATTTTAAATCAATATATAAGAAACCCACTTATCACATGTTTGATTTGAATGAAGATAAGAAAAGAAAGATCTATACAGTCAGCAGAATAACTCATCTATTTCTTTATACAGTATATATACTGTTAATTGATTAGTAATCATTACTATATAACAAAGATAATTTCTAATTCAGTAATCTTGAGAGCATAGAGACTATACTCTTAAAGAAAAGAGTATTATCATACTCTCAGCCATGTCAAGATCTCATTGCAGTTTCACATAGCTCATTACTTCTATACAGATGATTTCATCTCATCTAAACTGATTTTCAATCACTCTATAATATTATTCAGATATATCATAGAAAGATCTGATTAATGAATATAAGAATTCTGCTTTTATATAAGATTAGTAGATTACTCTTTCTTAACAATGAGACACTGCTGAGGTATCACTCTGACTATTCTCACTCATGAAATGAGAGAAGAGTATTCACTCATTATCTATATAGAATAGCTAGATGCTGACTTCTCATCAAAGAAGTCAGTGATTTGTCTTTTACTTCTACTGAAATATATACAAGAGTTACTGCATGTCTCATATAATCTTCTTAGTATACTAAGTATCATATCTGTGATATTCTCACAATAACTCTGTAGCCTACAAGCTCACTATTCAAGCAAGATAGTCAAGCTCACTTATACAGCTTTTCAAAACAACTACTTCTACATGATGCTGCTGACTAGCCACTGCTTCGGTTCCGCCACGTTACAATACAGATCACATATTTATCTTGTATACTGAATTACTATTATATCAAGTATAAAGTGATAGAAGTTCTAGATAGTTATAACTATTATCTTAATATATTATCAGAAATTCATAATGTCTTTCATACAAGCTTACTCTGTCATACTGTCACTGACTTATTCTCTTCTCAACTGACTTCTGACTAACAGCTGCCAGATATCATAGAAGAAGATAATAAGCTTAAGTGAGAAATTAAGAATATTCTCAATAAGAGACTCTGTGACTGCAGCTGATAATATCTTGTGAAATAAGTCAGATATGATTACTTAATCTGAACTCTGAGTTCTGTATTATCTGAAACAGTGACTCTTAACTGATGAGAACTACTTTTGAAAAGAAGGAATTAATGTAACAGGCTGTGTCTGATCAATTATATAGACTATTCTGTTACACTTCACAGATTTCAACTGTTTTATTCTTGAATATGTATGCTACACTCTGATTCTCAGTCATTCTTGATCATCAATTCTCAGTTACTATAAATATGTATAGATTCTTTCCCTCTGAAGCTTCACTATATATGTCACTATATACATGTATAAATATTCACTTCAATTGCAGATTCTTGTACTTCCTCTTTCTTTTTCTTCTTTAATGTTTTTCTCTTTGTTATATAAGATCTATCAATATTATACCAATCTATTCAGCGTAGACCTCTTATAAATATTGTTAATTTGCATGTATATCAGCTATCTATTATTATTATAATTTTATCATTACTCAGAGCTACTGTAGTACTATATCTATACTTATATTTAAGAGTTCTCTTATATTATTAATAGATATAGCTATATTATTCATCAGATGTATAATATCTGCAGAATCAAAAGAAGTGTAATTATATAAATATTTTATATATTTAAAGTATCAGAACTCTTGAGTCTTTCACTGATATTCTCTTTATAAGATCTTTATTACAGAGTCAGAATAACTGATAAGTAAGCTTCTACTTAAAGACTTAGTATCTACTTAACTAATTATTCATTTCTCTATTTCTTGTATATTATTATACATTTAAATATCTTCTTAATAAATAATTATTTCTAATGAAAAGATAATGAATATTTTCCAAGTATAAAAAATTTACACTGAATAGATCAGTATTAAAATATAGATCTTATATAATAAAAGTAAAAAGTATTAGAGAAGAAAAATAAAAGAGAAAGTATGAAAATTAATAATTAGAGCAAATATTTATACATATACAAAATAAAGCTTTAAAGTAGAAGAATAGAAACTCTGTGAGTTCTTCAGTTGAGAATCAGTGACTGAGAATCATAACTTTCAGCAGAAATCTATAAAGTGTAATAAAATAGTCTTATAATCAGACACAGTCACACAGCTTATTATAAAAATAAATGTAGTAAAAGAATTCTTCTATTCAGAGTGAACACATTCAATACTTACACAGGTGTTTTTAAACAAAAGTAAAAAAAATAAAAATAATGTAATTCTTTGTAAAAACGTGCTATCCGGGCTATAACCTGTGGAATGGTTAATCTGTTGTATTCGTGTGAGAAGAGCTAGCTATATATATATTACATATGAGATCACGTGTAGGCGGAGCGGTCGCTATGGCAACGCCACTGGGGCGGACGCTACACATATAACTTCTCACAAGCTTTACACCTTCCACAATAAATACGACATAAAACCGCCTGTTACTCCGATATTCTGATCAAATGCTTCATTATGCAACGGCCGGCCACCCAAATTACAAAGAGTAAAATCCCACAAAGTACTATAGTTGGGCAGAGGACTACAAGGTGGCAGAACAGACGAGATCACAGAGCAGAGAGAGAAAGGACGGCGTTTACAGTACACAGCCAAAGAAACTTGTGGAATTCTAGTGAAGGATGCTGGCGCTGTGTGAGCTGTTTTTGGTAGGTTCCCCAACACAAAGGAAAAAATATAAACCGCAGCCCGAAAGCCCTATGATGAAACTTTGGCATTCGCCCTCTTGGCGCAGGGCCTCCTTGGATATTTCCAACGAGCATCCCGCTTTTTGGCCCGCGATCGAAAGCGTGGCATCGTTTCGTGAATACGATGAAAAGGAGCGATCACATGACTCCGCTAGCCAAGAGAAGCATGTATCCAATATCTGCCCAGGCACGCAGGCATGATGTGGGATGTGGCCCCCACCTGGCTGCGATTGGACTGGTGTGAATGGGCGAAAACTTTTTATCATTACTGGTGGTGCGCAGCGTCATAATAGGCTATCATCGGATGTGCTGCCCCGCAGTCTAACAACCAGCTTATGAGTTTACGGAAAGATATTCTGGATTTAGTTGACATAACACATGTAGAATAATCCAAATGATAATAATTAAGTCTTGTCTTAACCACCTATGTTGATGCACGCTATTTCTGCCTCCTTGGTCGCTTCAATGCCTGCTGCGTCTGTTGGGTGAAGGAAGTATTGGGTGTAACTTCTGCTGAGCCTACAAAGCTAGCTTGACTTGGTTGGCTGTCATCCTCATCTAAAAATGACGGGGCGTTTGATCGAGAGAGTCCAAGTCCTGGCTGTGAAAGGTCAAAACTTACTCCACGAGGGATCTCATCAATGGCAGACCGGATCCTTTTCAGGTGGTCTGGCATCCATATATCATAAACATTCTTAGTAAACGTGTATGCACTCCACTTATCCTTTCCCTCCTCGCTGGTAAAGTCAAATGTTTTGATTGGGTGACGGTAGAAAGATGTCTTGTCCCCTTCGATGACTGCATAGTGGCCGTACATTCTCACTGTCCTGTGGTCGTGCGAGATCGAGAACGCCAAGATCTCGCGATTGGCCTCCTCTTCGCGTCCCACAAGTTTAAACAGCTCAACGACGCCCCTCACAGAGAGGGTCATGCTGTGTGCGTTCTGTCGATCAGCGATGTCGAGGGCGGCGGTACCCTTGACCTCGCTGGTCAGGAAAGGAAAGTACATATAGAAGGTGGCTAGGAAGTAAGAGCTGTAGGTATCCGGGTCATAGCCGAGGAAAGGCTCGAACGTCTTTAGTTGGTCTTCTGTGAACGCAGAACGGCCGAACCCGACCGCATAATCGGGCTGAGGACGTGGTCCACAGAAAGCAATGGAGGAGCTCCACTGTTCATTGACGCTTTCAACCAAGTGTTTAAGGGTCTTGGCTCCGTCAACTGCGAGAGATTCTGCCGAAGGCACAATTACTCGAGATATATCCTGGATAACTCTTGACTCATTCTTCCTGTAGC